TTGTTCTTCTGAATCGTTTTGCTTTAATGGAATACTTATGCCTATCCATTTAAGTGCACATACATGTACTTTTTTTATACGGTTGTACTTTAATTTTAAATACATACATACATATTATTATGTATATACAATGTATACAAGAGTGAGATATGTAAAATCTCTTGTTGATTATAATTTTGGTCTTTTTAGTTCTTCTGTTACCAGCTATTTGTAATCGACAATGTCGGGATATACAATGTTTATACCTATATCATAAACTGTTGACTATATTATACATTGGTACATACGTATTACATGTTTTTGAATGGTAAAGGTAAAAGGCGTTGAGATAATTTTTACATGGTATTTCCTTTAGCAAAGTGTTTTATTACTTCTGTCACGAAATACGTTGTTTTCCTTATTTTTAATAGTGTAGTCGTATTTAAATGCATGCATATCAGGATTTAAAATAATCTATAGAATGTATCATTTATTTTGGAACAATCATTCTTTGTAAAATATACTTGGATTCGACTAATATCTTATTAATATGAATTTGTGAAAAGAGTTGCTAATAACTTTCGACAAATCACCAAACTCTTTAAGTAAATCTTAAAAGTTTAATTAAAAACATCAAATTTATAATGCTAGTAAATATACACCTGCAAATTTACAAGCGTAACAACGTTATGAAACTTTTTAAATTCCAAATTTTTAATCCCGAAGAGTATGCCACAATTGTAAGACACTATACTAAAAAAAATTCAGTGAATATTAATAGCGAGCTCTTGTACAGAGTTGGATTACTATGATTTTCTTATAAACTTTAATAAAAACTAATAAAGTTGGGTCAAACCAATGGTTTGTATTGTAGCACTTTTCCCTTCAACAACTGAAAATTCTGCTTTTAAAAACACTCTATGTATACCTATCACACTATAAAAATTATTTTCATTCATACACAAAACTATTTCTAGGATTGCATATATTTAGGATGACGCATATATGCAGTCTTTGAAATAAAGCAAAAATTAATATAAAAATGGGTTAACATAATGCTCGATTTTAAGGGTCAATTGTGTGAGTTAAGAAAAATAATTATATTTTTTAATTTCATGGAATTTACCGTTAGCCTTTTGAGTTTACAAAAATTTGGAAAAGCTTGCGGTTTCGGAAATATAAGGTGTCAAAAATTAAAATTTTACGAATTTTAAGAGGTGATAACTTGAGAGGGGGTGGAGATGGAAAAAAATTTTCTTCTAACAAAATGAACTATTTGTTAATATCTAAAAGCCCCTAAAATTTCAAAGTTCTAGATTATGGGGTCTAGAAGAAAAACGACATCAAAAATTTGGAAAAAAAGGGACTTTAGATAACGGTAAATTTGAACGGCCATTTTGTTTTTCTAAAGTTTAACTATAGTATATCACGCTAGGGGAAGAAAGCCACTGCCTTTCTGCGTTTGCAAAATTTCAAAAATGCTTATGGTTTCATTGCAACAAATATTTAAAAAAGGCCATTTTTAGGGTTTTGGAAGGGTATAACTTCTAGCAGGTGGGAGATAGGTAAAAATTTTGTTCTACAGAAATAAGTTTCTAGTGAAGATCTATGTACCTATGAAATTTCAGCTTTCTATCATCAAGGGTGTAGAAGTTTTGTAAACAAAAAAAGTGTCCACGGACGGACGGACGGACGGACGGACGGACGGACGGACGGACGGACGGACGGACGGACGGACGGACGGACGGACGGACAGAGTGAAACTAATAAGCACTTTTTTCAAAAAAATTTTTGGAAAAGTGCTAAAAATTTGCCAAAATTATAACACTTTATCACAACTTTTACAAATAGCGAACGGCTTCTTTTGCTCCCATACATGAAAATGATGGTTATCGATCCGTTAACCAGGTATCTGTGTGCACATTGTATTTATAACATCAATACATATACAAATACAATATATTAACTGAGAATTGAAATCGTACCCAAAATTTTATTGAAAAAAGTAAAAAATTGTCCTTGTTTTTAAAAGTACAAGAAAAAAAATGGAGAAAAACAACAAAACTCATTTTTTTCTTCTTTGTTTTTCAATTTAAAATGGAAAACAGAGAAAACGAGGAAAATTTATCGAAATGGAAAACTGTTGTTGGGATAAAAGCAAAAACAACAACAGCAACAAACAAACAATTCACTTTAAAAAAGGAAGAAAGTTAAAAAAAAGGGTTATTGTTTTTTTTTTAATGAAAATTTCAATTTTGTTCGCGTCTTGTTTATGACTGGTTATACTTTTATATGTGCCAAGGCGAGAATAAGTGTACGAAATTGTACAAAGGCTGTTTTTACCTCTCATACTATTACGCTTTCAAAATATTATAAAAATTCTTTTTTTCTTTATTTTTGTAATAATCATTTATTTAAGGATGATAGAGGATGAGAGTCAAAATGACAAAATCAAAAATAATATCTACATAGGTATTAGTGTAACCGTATAAAGTGTTAGAAATGACATTTTATAAGAATGATGTGATGTTATTCTGCAATATTGCTACGCGATACTTGTACTAGTACATCATCATTTAATATATGGCCTTAGCAGTTGTGGTTCTTGTTTCTTTTATAAGCATAATACACCCATAGGTGTATCGTAATCGATTATACTCCTATATTTTTTAGAAACCTTAGTTCAATATAACATTTTCGACATTTTGCTGAAAAAATTCCAAATTAAGCGGCTACCTTCGTGTCATACTATCCCTTTAAAATCATATTTTGTTTGGCGAATCAAAATTTATTTACTATTTAAAATATGCGTGAGCATAACCAGACTGACGTTGATCTTTACGAAATACATCCTTTCTTGAAACATATGTCTGGGTTGGGGCTGACAGTTGACAATTTTTCCCTATTTGTGTGAGTGTCCGGTTCTTGGCGGAGCCAAACTAATCATGTGTGGCGCGGCCAATATGGCGGAACTAAATGAAGTATCGAAGTTTGATATAAGCGGCTTGAACAGATTTCTTAAAAGAAAAGGGTGGTCAGAGGGTGATGGTAACATAATAACACATTATTTCTACTAATTAGACCACGTCAACCAACCAATCAACCAATTTAAAGAATTTTTAGCCTGATGCACGAATTAAGTTCAAACTAGTACACTTGACTTTTCGTATTAAATATCCAATAGTTTATTGATTAAAAAAAACTCAAATTATACTCCCGTATTTTTTTTGCCGAGCTTTAGGTAACTCACTACTTTCATTTTCATCTGCAGTGTATTTTTATTAAAAGCAAAAACAGAATGAACATGAACAAAAAAAAAAGCAATATTAGCAAGTTGGTGACAACAAAGATTTTCATGTATTTGTTTTTTTTTGTTCTTGTTATATATGTTTTTGTGTTTTTCAAGGGCGCATACTTGAGAAAGCAAACAAAGTAAGGCAGGATAACACAAAAACAATGTAATAAAAAACAAAATGAAAAACAGAAAAAATTAAAAAAAAAAAAAATATGCGAAAAAGAGTTCATTATTGTGACTTCTTTATTAAGAAATAAAAAGAAATTGTGAATTTTATTTTTTTTATGGTCGAATTGGTTGCTCTCCGCGCCTCTCTCGTATAATTTCTCGTTTTTTACTCTTTTAAAATTGGTTTTTGTCTTTGTATAAAGAAATAAAGAGACACGATTATTAATCGGTTATTCTAGCACTCTGCAATAATTAATGATTGTCATAAAGTATTGTTTATTGTCATGTATAGAGGCTTTTAAAATCATTTTTATTTTTATAGGGAGACAGATTGAACCTAAAAGGAAAATGAATGCTTTCCATTTCGTTGCATGTTTTTTCTTTTTTTTTTAATATTCTTAATTTATTTTTATCATAGCCATAATTTTAATAGACTCTCAACTTAATATTCTATAGATTATAAAAACAACAAAACCATATAATACTTACCTGATTTAAATTAAAAATGTAAAAAAACAAAACCTGTTAAAAAATAGCTGGTGAGAAAATGTAGAGTGTAGATTGTTATTTAAAAACAAATTGATATGATCAACACATAACCGACTGCAGTGCGCATTGCACGGTTTTGCGAAAGTAGATTATGAAAAATCCTTTTACCTTTAATTTACAAATTTAAATTTGTCTCTCTGTAGAGTTTTTCTTTATGCCATCCTTGAAACATTCTCTAGTTAGTTTAACCAGTAGAATCCCCGAGGCGTGATATTCGCAAAAACGTCCAGTTCTCGAAACCTGATATATCCCAAAAGTTGATCAGTTAATGACATAGCCGAAATAAACCCACATATATTATTTCATCAAATGTTTTAGCCGAAGTAGAGATGCACACTACTGGCATAGACCGTCAAAGACAAAGGCAGAGGGATATCTTTCTAAAATTAGTTACGTTTCCCTACCATAGAGAAGAATTTGGTGCCGTCACATCACCTCCCTTATTCTATACAATACAGTCGGTTAAAAGAATGAAGACATATCATAAGACATTTGTTATAAATTGCAAAGTCATGTTAATAGGGTTGTGAGGAGGGGAGCGGGGTTGGCTTATTTTTATTATGAATAATATTTTCATTTGGATCCACGTGATTCCACAATACATACAGACACAGATACATACATATGAATGTACAAATACTCTTTGTTTAATAATTTATTTTTAAAAAGGTTTCGTCTTGTTTTATGACATTCATTTTTACAGTCATAAAATATATTTTAATTTTAAAATGAAAAAAAAAAGTTTAAGGTTAAATTAAAGTTTAAAAGAAATTTGACGAAATTTCTTTTTAAAAGTTCTCTTGAATTTATGCAATTAACTTCTTCAAATTAAAATTCATTTATGAATGGTTCATATAATGAAAAATGTGTAGGTAGTACATTTGATTTTTTGAAAGAAAAAATGTGGTTCTTGCATAAAACACCTGATTTCTAAAAGTAATTAAAAACATAAAATTTTCGATTTTGATAACATAATGACCAAGTCTCTATTCATCATCATCTTTTGGTTCTACAGCTCCTGGTGAGCCTTGACCTCGTTCACAATTTTCCGCCAAACTTCAAGGCTCTGGGTAGCTGCCCTCCAGTCATGGACCCCAATTCTTCTACAATCAGTCTCTATACCATCGAGCCATCTAGATCTAGGCCTGCCTCTTGCCCTTGTGTTGTATGGTCTTGCGTCTAGAATTCTTTTCTGCGCTCGATGCTCTGGCATTCGAGATACATGTCCAGACCATCTTAGTATATGTCCTTTAATATACATATTTGAGGATATTTTTGCCATCAATTAGTTCTTTTAGGTCCCGATTTGATCTTATTTCATATTTCCCATTTTCATTTAATTTTGGGCCAAATATTTTTCAGAGCAGTCTTCTTTCACGTATTTTTAACTTTTCCTCGCTATATGTTAGAGCAGGTTGAATTAACATCTTGTACATTCTAATTTTTATTGACCTGTCTATTAGCCTGGATTGGAGAAGCCGCTTATATGTAAAATAACATTTTTTCATTGATTATCAGACCCACAGAAGCAGCTCTTCTCTCTAATATTAAAAACATTTCTTTCATTTCATTAAAAGAGCTGGCTCTTTCTCTCTATTATATGAAATTTTTCAAAATAAAAAATAATTTAAATCGAATTTTCATACAATTTTTGATTCATTAGCAGCGCAATTTCCTAAATTAATAATTCTGCTTATTAAATATTAAGTCGTCAAATTAATCACAATTTAATTATAAAATTATTCGAAAAATATTATAGTATTTCTATTTTAAAATTTTTCTCTAATGTTGTAGATAACGTATATATATGAAGCTTGTTCTCTTCTATTATTTTGCTGCTCAGGTTTCCATTCATTCAATATAAATTTTTCAAAACTAAATTCTCACATTTTCCAAAACTAAATAAATTACAGAACATTTATTTATCCTGGTCTTTGAAAAAGGATAAAAATTTTATAAAATATTTTAAGAAAAGCAAAAAAAAAACTTAATGAATTTCAATAAAATTTTTTAATTTTTTTCTGTGAACCTTGAACCACCATTCTAAATAATATTTTTATTGCGTATTATTTTGCTCTCAAAACTTATTTATGTCTACATAATAATTAATATATTAAAACTAATTATAATGTTAAAATTTCTACTTTCTACAATTGACATTAATTCTAAAAATAATAACGTTATCGTGAAATTTCTATAGAGGTAACATTATAGTTAACCAATAAACCAAAAAAATTACGTTTTCTTAGCATAATACCAAGGCTGTTTGAATATCCTTAAAATTTATCATCTCTTTATTATATTACTTAAAAATAAATTTCTTAATAATAACAAATGGTTATCCTTGAAAATGAAAAAAAAATGGAGAAAATCAAAAGAAAATTCTCATTTTCTAATAAAACGTAGAAAGTTTTCTCTCTGAAAAAAAAAAACAAAAAAAGAGAAAAACTCATTATCAAAAATTTTATTTTAATTTTAATTTAGAGAAAAAAAAATAAAAAAGGAGAAAATTGAAAAAAATTTTCCTTTTTTCTTTAATTTTTCATTATACACATTTTACAATTTTCATCTTTTTCTTATTTTTATTTGTTTTCTTAACCCCAAAACTATTAAAAAGGATTAAAAATGAGTTATGCAAGATTTAATGTGTAGGTTTTTTTGTTTTTTCTCTTAATTTTTTTTTTTTGTAAAATTTTAATTTTGTTTCTTTGTTTTCATTTTATTATTTTTTTTTTCTAAGAAAAGTACATAATTTGTGACTTCTTATATAAACCGTAAACCGCATAATTCTAAAAAATTCAATTATATGTTTTTATTTCTTTTAACTTCCCTTTAAACTTGTAATTTAATTATTTTCTTTTTTTTCAGTTTTCTTTCTGTTTTGTTCTCAAATTCAAAAGAAAAAAAAGAGAAAAAAAATTAATTTATGCCCAAAAATTAGTTATAAAAGTCGCGTCAAGGACACAATGGATAACAAAAACAAATAACGGAAATATATTATGACAAAATGAGAAAAATAGAGAGAGAGAGAGAGAGAGAGAAGAAGAGAGAAATACGAAAAAAAACTTTTATTTTTTGACAACTTGATTCATTTCTTCCTATTACAATATTGAGACTTTTTGAATTTATTAAAATCGTTAAAATTTGTGGTTATTCTTGGATACTATAAGATATAAGCATTTATTTTAGTTAAAAAAATTTTAATATTAAATTATTTGAAAAGTTTCTTATAGTTTGAAATCCCGAATTGCGTTTAAAGAGAACAAAGAAAGAATAGCTTCTCATACACTTAATATTGATTGCTTTGTAAATCTTTCATGAATAAATTTCTTCAAAATCTAATTTTAAAGTGTGCAAAATTAAGTTGATTTCGAAATTTCTCACATTAAAAATATTTAATTTTTAAATTCGAAAAATTTCTTTTTAGAAATTAGAGGAATTTTGATTCGATTTAAAAACTAGCAATGATCATTTTATTTGTGCTTGGGATTCAACACTTTGTACGGCTTTTATAGGAGCTCTTCAATGGCACTACAGGTGTGATAAGTTATTGCTTTAGAATTTTTATATTTCCTCCTTAAACATCTGAGAGCTACATAATGCTCTATAAAATCCTCTTGTTTGTACTGGATATTGTTTCGAACTAATAATTATTGGTGCTTCACCTGCCTGTTAAATTTGTGATAAATGACGTGCCTTCAGTATATAATTATTTACGAGTACTATTGAAAAACCGTTGTGATAGAAACGAAGAGAATTAATGAATTCGTTTCTAAAATGGAATAACGGAATTTTTCTCTGCAATTAAAGTTCAATTGTTTGCAGTTCCAGTATGGTTCTAACATAGTTTAAGATTTTTTTTTTTAATTATTTTTTATTATAAAATTTCACAAATATTTACACAGGATTATACATTGAATATTGCTCTTAGCCTTTTCCTTAAAGAAAAAAATTTTTTTATTCGAAGCATGTACGGTGCTCTTTTATTTACAATATTCTGTAATTATAATTATAAATAATTTAAAATGAGGTCACATACAACATGTAATTTATATTGTATTTTTTGTTTTTGTGCAATTAGCATGATTTCTTCAACTTTACATTAATATTTTAATTTATCTTTGTTTTAATATTAGAAATTTTCTACTAGCTTTTGGGTATTGAAATAAAAATATGTTTTGAAATTACTTTAAACTGAGAGCTAAGATGTGATATGAATAGGAGTGAACAGGAAGATGTGGTGTGATAACGCTATAATACAGTATGATTTAGCCATATAAACTGTTACACTATGAGGCCCCGCTAAAAATATGAAGTATTTAAGTGCATATTACTCGATTTTCATTAATGTTATGACAAGGAGCTTGGAAAAAAAAATAAGACATATGTCTTACGATTTTCAAATAGTCAAATTAATTAACCGTTCTGGTGTATTTAATATGAAAAGTGTTCATATATGCCATATTAAGAGGAGATATTTTTTTTAAGAAAAAATCTTCTATTTTAAAATTTCATTTTCTTTAAATTTGTGCTTCATCTTCAACTCATACAACTGATAACACAAAAAGTAAAAGAAATAATTTATAATATCCTTTTTGAATTCATTGATAAGGGCTGTTTTAGAAAAAATAAACCCCAAAATGAAATGAAATTTGGTAACCGAAAAGAAAAAACAAATTTTTTTTCTTTCCTTTTACTTTTCTTTAATTGAAATCGGTTCAAAGTCACACACCAATTGCAGAAAAAAAGAAATAAAAAACTGAAACAAAAACTTTTACAAAAGACTTAAAAGACAATTTGAGGTTTTCTATCTCATTCTTTTGTTCATTTTCTTTCTGATTTTTCTTATTCCACTTTTTTTTTTTTTTGATATTTTTATTTTGATTTTCGTAATTGTATTGAAGAAAATTATTTAAGAAAAATAATGATAACAGAAAGTAAAACAAAAAGATAGAAGATTTCTCTGGAACTTAAAGACGAAGGTTCTGTAAAAAGTACTTTTTACTCCAAAGTAATTTGTCATTGAATATCGTGTTTCTATACTTAGAATCTGCTTTTTGGTATTAATATGAGCGAGGTTAAGGAATATTTTGCCATTAAGCTATTTCTACAAAAATCGGGATGAATAGAATTTCAAAGACATTATTATATTGTGAATATTCGTTCTTACAATTGTAACAAAGCAAAATGACAGCTGACACAAGCTTTTATAAAGTTTTATCATTACTGTTTGGCTAACGCTACACAAGAACTAAAGCAATTCAAAAGCACTGCAAAAAAAAAGCTCAATATACTCTAAAGGAGCTTAATTAAATTTATGTCCAGTCACATGATAAAGTATAGGAATTCACATGCATAACCGAAATTTTGGACATACGAATAAAAACAAAATTTAAGTAGTCGGTGATTATTCAAAGATTAGAATAAATAGTAAAATGAGATCTCCAGCTTTCGCTTTTTCGGAAATAACCTTGGAAATTTACGTTTTTTTTTTCTTTATTATTTGTTTTAGGTCGTATGTCTTATAATTTGTGAGATTTTCACTTTTTATATCAAAAAAAAAAAAGGAGAAAAAATAGAAGACTTGTTTTGTTTTTGTCTTTGGGACAAGATAAAAAGAAAAATGTTGTAATTTTTATTTTTCCTTCCAAAAGTTTAGACACTAAAATTGATTTTTAAACGAAAGATAAAACTTTCACATAAAAAAAAAACAAGAAAAGAATAAGTGAAAAGCAATTTATTTCTTGTGAACAGATACAACTTGTAATTTTAAGCAGAAATTTCGAAATTTTTTGATAAATCTCTTGAAAATTTCCTTTACGAAATTTTATGCTGGTATATCTTTGATACTTTCAATTGTTAAGTTCCCCCTCTCCAAAATAATTTAAAAATCGCTATATAGATTTGCAATTTAAATTTTTTTTCCTGGTTTAATTTCAAGTGGTGAATTGTGAATAAAGTTTTTGAAAATGATTTTTCTTATATTTCATGAAAAAGTACTTTTACTTTATGCATACAAAGTTTTTAATAAAGTAAAGAATGAGTGTAATTAAACAATGGAAAGAGTATAAGAGGAAATTTTCCATTGAAGTTATTGTTAAAGTTAGAGGAAAAAAATTTTTTTAAATAAATTTGTTCATATTATTATATAAATTTTGATAATAACAAGAATAAGAGTTGACAATAATAGAAACCACAATAAACGTAAATTGACATACCATCTAATGGAATCAATATATTTACAAGAAGAAAGAAGAGTTTGAATTTCAGTTAGGCAACTTTAATCATATTTCTTCTTAGGCCAGAAACATTCTACAATTGGCTTACTCTACGAATAATCATGAGAAAAAAAGCAAAATATTGAAAAGGAATAACTCGACAACTCTTATAAAAATTGGAATGCGCAGAAAAAATAGACATACTGAGCCACTCAGCAGAAGAAGTGCAGATCGCTCCAAAAAGTACGTGTTCAAAGAAAAAGCAAAAGTCATTGGAATAAATTCCACAAGCCAATGTACGAGTATCCATGTACTAACAAGATATTACAATAGAAGACGTAGATTTAAAATATTGGGAATTATTTTAAAATATAATGTGCAATAGTTGCAGCTATTCGTTAATAGGTGTTTAAGGAATCGCTCTGGGTTAGAAGAAGATTATGAATGAAGAGTTATGGATAATGCCAGGATAAGAACCTATAGTAGTAGTAGTAAGAGAGAGGGGCTCCAACCGTACACCCACGCAAAGCCCATGCACTAGGCCAACAGAAAAAGGACCATCGGCAACCCTCCGGAAAACACCCAACATCCCCCATGCAGTTCGACACACAAGACCCCTTATCCAAACCAGCCAAACTGCCTGGCGAAGCCCAAACGCCTCACAAGAGACATCTCAGAAAGGTCCCCAGGTCATCGTAAAAATAAGACCCAAGACACGCCGTCTCTTCCACATCAGAAACGGAGAGGCACAGAGGACATGCTCTACGTCCTCCACCTCCGCCACATCCCAACACACACGACATACATCCGTCATAGCAACTCCAAGCCTCCTGGCCATTTTAAACAGAAGGAAATGCTCCGTCAGGGCCCCAACCAGTGTGCTGAGATCAGTCCTAGTATATCTCAACAGCACCCTCGTTCTCCCTTCGTCCCTGACAGGCCACATTGCCATGGTCACCCTACACGTGTGAGCCTCCGCCTACAAGACCCCGCTCCTCCTCCTACACTCACCATCTATGACGGCAAGATAAGCCCTCAGCGGCAGACGAACTGACGCGTCTACCACGTCAGATTCCCCGCCAGCCCCAGCCCTCGCAAGACGATCAGCCATCTCACTACCTCGTGTCCCGCTATGACCGGGAATCCAACACACAGTCAACCTGCATATATTGCAAAGTGCCCCAAGTGCCTTCCTGCATCGACCCACCAAAGCCGATGGAAGACCCCACATCCATCAGGCAGCCTATACCCATGCCAGTACCATCCATGATCTTAGAACCATCCGCGTAGATGGATAACCTCTCGTGCGTGCATAGCCTCTCCACACTCCAATCCTCCCTTTGTGGAACCACAACCACATAATCAACTCTCCAGTCGGTGTATGGCACCACAAAATCAGGCCTAATATCCATAGGCCGCATTCCATATTCCCCCAGAATTCTACAGTGTGTGTATTCCCTGTTTTTAAGTATGCGCATCGCCGTAACCTCAAGGCACTTCTCGCAGCCGCCGCTTTTACCTGCTCACTCACCGGATCCAGGTCGAGAATAACCTACAAACCCAAAGTGGGTGTAGTACGCAATGCACCCGTCACCCCAACACACGACATACGCTGCGCCCTCTCCAACTTCCTCCTTTCCCTATCCCGAAGCACCGCTGACCACCAGACCAATGCCCCATACGTCAGAATAGGCTTAACCACACACTCATACAACCAGTAGACCAGTCGAGGACTCACTCCCAACCTTCTACCAGTCGCCCCCTTGCAGGCAAACAACGCAGTCGTGGCCCTCTTACCCTATTCTCTACGTTTTCCATCCACAGCAGCTTACTATCCATAATCACGCCCAGGTATCGCGCACAACCCGCCAAACCCAGCTCGGCTTCCGCCATGTTAGGCAGGGCAAACCTGGGCACCTTCCTTTTCCTCATGAACAACACCAGCTCCGTTTTTACGGGGTTCACAGAAAGATCGCATCCCCGCGCCCAACCATCCAGTCAATCAAGATCCCCCTGCATTATTGCACTCAGTACTTCCGGGTATTTACCCGAGACCAGGATCGCCACATCATCCGCATAGGCAGTAACTCTACATCCACTATCCCTCATGAGCCTAAGATAATCCTGCATAACCAGGACCCACAGATATGGCGATAGGACCCCCCTGAAGAGTGTCTCTCACCGACAGCATCCTGACCTTACTTGGGCCCCACTCGGCCACCACCACCTTAGTAGCAATAATTTGCTCTATCCATCTGATTATGTCCTCCTCTACTCCTACATTTTTGAGAGCCCCCACGATAGCCTCAACCTTTACATTATTGAAAGCACCCTCGACATCCAAGAAAGCAGCCAATGTATACTCCTTGTACTGCAGAGACACCTCCACCTGCGTGACCACCGCATGCACCGCCTTCTCCACAGATCTCCCTCCTCTGAAGGCATGCTGGTCATTTGACAGACCCGACTCCCTTTCCTCATTCCTTGTATATTTTTCCACTAACCTCTCCGTGATCCTCAGCACAAAAGACGACAAGCTGATAAGAACCTATAAGGGTTGAAATAAGAAATAGAGAATGGATAGGCTACATTTTGAGCCGACCAATAACATCAGTGCCGCACCAAATTCTTGAATCGAACCACAGGACAAGAGAAAAGTGGAATGATCAGGATTAACTTAGAAAAAGGCGTAAGAGCAGAGTATGAGCGGACGTCAAATTAGATAAGTTATGTGGAAGCTCTATGTTCTCTAATGGAATAGTAAAAGTTCATAAATGGTATTTTTAAATATTATTCGCCCCATTATTATTTGCTTCTATTTATAGATTGAAATTATTTTACGTTTTTAAGATTTAAGTAAGAGATATAATTTTTAAAATAGCATACTAATAATTTTAATTTTGATTTCTTAATATTTTTCATAATTTTCTTTGAATTAAATATGAAGACTTCAATATAAAAAGAGATGTCTATCTTTAGATTGAATATAAATAAATTTTTTATTTAAATTTCTTAAAAACGTTAATATCTTTTATAAAATAAATTTCAAACGAATAGAATGTAGGCTGCTCATCACTCAGTTTAATTTCAAAGAATAAGATATTAATGATTGAAATGGAAGTAATTTTAAGATTATGAATTTTATATTCAGTGCACATTTTCCATAGAGAGTTGAACTTAACCCCGAAAATATGGAACCGATTTCACATTAAGCGCAAAGTACATCATCGAATTCAAAACAAAATTTGCTTTTTATTTATCTTGTAATGGGTGAATATAAAGAAATTTATATTTATATAAGTTTGTGGTCACTCCGAATATAAAGCTTATCTTGGTGTAGTAACTATCTTCACTTGAAATCAAAGGGAGCTCATTCCTTTATCGATCATATCCATTCCTTTATTTAATAGCAAATCTTAATTTAAAAGTCGTAATATATACTGTGTTTGCCGACATAAATTTATTTTGAATACGAAAGAAGGACGAATATACGTTGTCCGCATGACCGTCATGCACGGGATTAGAATTATTTTTGCATTCACATTGCTCACAACTTAACATGCTCTATAAATACTGATAATTTATCATTTGCACTCCGATTAAGAGTAAACGACCAAAAAAGATTTAAATTTATAATCTAAAATATTTTGACTCACATCTTCATTTTCTATAAATATTTTATGACATATTCTTTTCTTATTTTTCTTTAAAAAACTCAATTAAGTTTCAAGTTTCTACTTTAATGCGAAAGGTAAATCTTAAAATAATCTTGATCTTATTATTTAAATATGACATCTTCATTAAGAATTAAATTGAAAACTTTCTGAAAATAATGTCAAATTTTTATGAAAAAGTTTTGAGAAATTATTTTGTTTTTTCTTCCTTATAATTGTCATAATGTACTGGACACATCTATTATACCATTATCCATGTATATTAAATTCGATTTTTGGGTTAACTGCTAAAGAAAAAAAAAATAAAGCAAATTAAATTATTAAAAAAAAATTTGTCGACTTATTATACATTTACAGTTTTTTTTTTCACATTGATAAGATTTTGAGTTGGGTATTGTTTTCGTAAAAAAAAATTAAAATTGATTTTTTTATTACTTAATAATTTTCCTTCTCTAAAAATTTGTAATGCATAAACTGGGTAATAGTTTTTTAATTTCTCTTTTCGGATGACACCCCCAGACTGTGAGAACGGGGTCGATCTCGACGAAAGCCGTATGGTTGGCTAATTGCTTTTATTTATAACTGTTAACTTATTACTATAAATAAATTCAAGTAAGCATTCAACTCTCTTGTTTATATCGGTCTTTCCCTAAACGGTATGAGTTCGCATCCCTTTCTATTCTAAGTTAGAAGTTCCCCTTTCCATAGAATTCCACTAGGTCCTTCAGCTGCTCGTCTGGATGATTACAGTCTTCCGGACAATAGAATGAGCATGTAACAAACTCTGTCAAGCCCACTGGAGTTTTCGGTATTCAACTTCGGTATTGTAGTTACCTCATCCTTGGTGCAGAAGTCTGAAATGGGAATATACTTTTTTTTTTAATGAACAAGATGCGGGTCCTGGGCTTACTCCCAGTTGGCGTATTATATAAAAACTTACCTCCACCTGATAGCCCTTTAAGCTGATCCTTAATTATATAAGGCTTTTGGACAAGAACAATGTCATGGTAACTCTTCAAAAATCTACAAGCCAGAACATGTCGACGCATGAAGTTTACTTGAATGCACCGCATAGCCATACTACTTCTTATGGCTTTAGTCTATGGACATAGGCTCTATAAAAAAAGGCGCGTCATGGGGTTTCCTTCCCTTAATCGCCTTCAAACGCGTCTTGGCATCGGCTTACTTTGTCATTACTTCTTTTGCCGCCATAGATGCAACACTCGTGCCTCCAGTCAATTTAGAAGCAATTTCAGACATTCCACTGGGCTTGGGCCTTTAGTTCACCTGAAACACCTGTCTTTGGCGTGCTATTCGTTGGTCCTTTCGACCCTCAGACCGCCATTTCCGGGGCGTTTCCCAGCTTGTCGAGGAAATTTGGTTCTTTAAGCTCTTTTGGTTCGTTATTGTCGTACTGCGCATTGGTTTTTTAAGCTGTTTTACATTGTTGGGAAAGAAGTTCAGGAAAAGTTGGAACTCTGTTTTTTGTGTATTTTCAAAATCGAAATAATTTACGGAGAAGTAAGAAGGTGATGGCACAGTCCCTATCCTTTTCTTTATCCGCCCTCAGTACTCTCCAGGAAATTGTCTTGAGGCTCGGATTTTACATTTTTATCTTACTGGGACATTTATCGCTGGAAAATTTTGTAAATTAGGAAATATTAAATAAATGTAAGGTTTCCTTTAATTAATTTAATATTTTTGGTATAACGTAAAAGAACATTTATACGCAATGCTATATGGTAAGCTCATGATCTAGAATTAGCGTACTTACCAGAAATAATAACTAATACTAGGAAATTGTTGTGACTACATTTATACCTTAGATGCATTAAATTTTTTTTAACTTTATAAAAAAACTTTATGAATTAAGTATATTATTAGCGAAACATTAAAATAAAGTTTAATCGAATATATTTTGCACTATTACTGTAAATTAAAATCACTGCAAAAAGTCCTCATGCGGAAAATTGGTAAAAAAGAATCGACTACCTTAATTAGGACATTTTGCGATAAAAAGTTATTCTGAAAATTTTGCTAAAAAAATTTTAGCTAAAACTGTTATTAATTTCGGAATTCGTTTTTTGCTTACTAATTGAACTGAAAAACGACTTAATACACGGGATCTCTATTTCCATGTGCAATTGAATCGGATGAAAAATTATACTTGGATCACAATTAACCAACTATATGGGAGGTTTACTGCGTTCAATTGGTCACCAGATATGCTGACCTTTTGTCATTACGACCAGATATTCAGCAGAAATAATATGTGCTACATAAATATTACGTTGTCAATTTATTGAGGAGTTCATCGACCACCACGTACCAAAACAAATTCAAGAATACGCCATCCTCCGGGACATCCTTCGTTAACGTTTATAGGGTTGTTAGCTGGAGAGCTCAAAATAATCTCGATACGATCTCTTGTATAATCTCGTTCAGAGCTACTTATTTGAATATATCTGCGAGCCAACACCCAAATGCATATATCTGATGTTAATGTATTCAGCTTAATTAAAATTGAATTAAGTTTGAGTTTCTGAATAAATCATGTTGACTTTTTCATTTGCATCTACGGAAAAATCCTTCAACATTGTGAAATTTTCGAATATCTTATGCTATCCTCGAATTAAATTTTCGCAGATTCATAACATATAATTGATTACAATTACTTTTATTTTTGCATTTTTTATTGCTTCAATATATAAGCTGTGTCATACTGCAAGGTAAAACAATAACTATCGAGTTTACTAAAGAGTAAAGAAAATGAAAAGAAAATGTAAAAAAATATTTTAAGGAAAACTTACGGCTTGCAATAACAAAGAAGAAAAGTTTAAGGGAGAAAAAATTACACTCCAATTTTTCTATTTTCAAATAATTTTCTATGTGTTTTAAAGAGGCCCAGGTTTAAATCCATTTACACAATATATAAAATCAGAAGCAAGAAAAAACAATAAAAAGGATATAAGAGGATTTTTTCTTATTCCAACACCATTTCACCCTTGTTGTTATTATACCCTCTTATTTAAGATGGGAATAACAATTATTCAGTCAAAAGTTTTTATACTTCCGTCTTAACATTATTCTAAGAGAAAAATGGAAGAAGAAAAAAAAACAATAATATAAATCCTTAAGAAAAACTTTGAAAGGAATTGAAACTTGAAAGAGTGCTTTTTTTCTTGCTTTTTCTTGTTGTAAATTATTTCATTGTTTTTTTTTCTTCATTTTTTGTCCTTTTTACAGATGTTTTTACACCCCCAAAAGTCTTAAACTTTCTTTTTAACTAAGAATCTAACAATTTTTGTCTCTGTTCTAATATTTTAATGCAAAATGTAACGTAGTCTTATATTACATTTTAATATGTGAATGTGGGGAAATGCAAGAATTCTTAAATATTACGTACACCCAAACCAAGATTTCCTTAAAACAGATTATAAGCAGTGATGTGAATCGGGTAGTTGATGCATTTTAAGTATAGGACCGTTAAGATATTGAAATCAAAATGCGTTTGCAATGCTTACCTGTAGATCCGCTAAGATAGACATCAAGACATGATATGCATAACATTTCGAAGATCACTGAGTATACACGGTAGTTCAAATGTTATGTACGTTGGCGACTATCACCGGTGGCGACTGTCACGTTTTTACCTAAAAATGCTATCGATTGCCGGTTGCACATTGCAATTTACTACTCACGAAGTCAGATGTTACTATGAAAGAGAATCGCTAATTCAGCTAATAAAATATATTAATTGCTGAATTGTGTTATTTTACAATTCAGCTTATTAATTTTAATTGCTGAATTGTTCGTTTACTTTTGTTTTATTGCAATTTTAATTCAGGAATATATTATTTGTAACGAATACTAAGGTATAGGTGTACGAAATATCATTTTGTAGAAAATGAAACTACTTGAAACAAAAAAAAAACTAAACATGAGAAAATTTTCTTGGTTTACTTAAGGCACCTATATATTGCAATAGAGAAAATCTTCATAACTTAAAAGAATGAATGTTTGAGGTATGAGGAAAAATAAAAGAACGTAAAATAAGAAAAACTCCAACTTTAATTAAATGTATACACCGGTTCTAAGCTTTCTTGTAAACTAAAACGATTTTAACATGTAAGAGTGATGTTAAAAAGGATTTGAACTGTATAATATATACGTATTTAAATATCTATGTGCATGTATATGTGAATATAATATTGTGCAGTGGTGTAGGATTTCCATCTTAATATTGTCCACATATTTTATACCGTGTAATTAAAAAGGTGTAAATTTCGAAAAGATGTGAAGTTTTTTTTTAATTAATATAAAAACCACTTGAAAATGGCTGTTTTGTAAGCATTAGTTTACGCATTTGACGTAAAGTTTCTTTGCGTCAACTTTAAATAAAAAATTCTTATTTTTGTTGTACTCTGTAGCTTTTTTCATTTTATTTGGAAAGAAAAGTTTTAAGGCTATCTTTAATTTTAAAGCACAAAATTTTGGTTTGAATAATTTTCTTGGTCTTGGTTTCCTTGGATTTTGGCGTTTCTTTCACATCTTGGTTCGGATAAGTACTGAATTTTTTCTTATAATATTAATGAGTATAACATTGTACAGGATGGAAACCCTTGAAGTTGACAAATAAATTTTATAAATTTTTATACTAACAGACTGCACTTTAATTTTCACATTCTTTTCGAAAATAATAAGAATAAAAACAGAAAGGAAGAACAGAAAAAAAATAAGAATTACAATTTTTGTTCAACTAACTTCAATCCTTAAGAAGAAAAGCTAAATGGAAGAATTGTGGGAAAAAATATAATTTTGTTGAATTAATTACAACTTAGCATCAGAAATAAATTAAGAAAAATAAAAAATAAACAAAAGAGAAATTAACAAAAATGAAAAAGAAAATCTCATTTTTTATATCCTTTTAATTTTGTTCTTCCCAAGTTACTAGATTATTTTCAATTATTTATCATATACAAACACATATACCCTAACATGTACAATACAATATTCGAGTATAAATAATAAGGGCAAAAATTTATATTCATGAATATGTAAGGTAGGTAACAAAAAATTTTATATGCAAAATAGTTTTGACAACAATATGACATTATCAGATTTTCTAAAAATATTCATATGCTTTCTATACACTATGTAAATATATTTATAAATACTATATAGGGCAAATATACTGAACTTAAGCAACCATACAAGGGTGTCAACGTGTGTTTGGAATTTTTTATATACAATAATTTTAATACCTAGAGAAAATTAATCATGTTATGAAAAATTTCGGTAACGACAAACTTTAGAAGATAAAATTGTAGTGATGACTGACTGCGTGTTATTGTTTTGAATATTTGCCGACAAATGACTTTTCTGTTTGTATATTTTATGTAGTTTTATCATAATTTTTCATACATATATTATTTTTTATATGTAAATTTTAAACTTGTTAAAATTTATAATGATATTTTCAAAATAATATTTTGAAATTAACTAGTGTTATTTTACAATGAAAATTGAATTGATGTTAAATAGAGATTTAGTTAAGCGGTAGAGCCTCTTTAATATTATTTAGACTTTCGTTTAAATTTAAAGTGATGCGTAAATGTATTAAGTGTCAGTGGAGTACATGGTTAGAAAAATTGTCGTGATAATAAATTCTCCGTTCAATGCATCCTATAAATGTACTTGAAATCCAAAAAATTCGACTAGCTTTTTTCGAAGCTTGTAGTTCTAAATTAAAGGATTTCTGCCTTAGTGTCTGTACTTCAGGGTTAACATTTATTTTCGGTAATTTTTCGAGTCAAGAAGAGCCAAGAATGTATGGTTAATAATTTCATAATCTAAGTAACACTTTTGATAATACTGTACTATATATGCCATAATGTAATTATAACTTTATATAAATGTACAAAAACTACACAACATTGTTAAAATCACAACCTTCTCATATAATTTATATGCGATTGTATTGTAAAATTTTAAATTGTTATAAAATTTATCGTAAATGTTAACAAAATGTTAAAGTAGTCAATTTAAGTATAACATTAAAAATTTTATTTTTGGCAACATTTCCTATATAAAATAATTAATTTATTCTATGTGAAAATTCTAATTCGAAAAGAATTTGCGGAAGTAGCATAATTTTGTTGTTATAAAGAACCATTAACTGTGTGTTATGCTAGCCAAAAAAAAAAAAAAAAAATTAAAAAAAAATCATGTTAATAATCCGTTTTGAAAATTGTAAAAGG